TACCATCAAATTCCTATTGCTCCTGAGGATCAGGAAAAGACAACATTTTACTAGCCCTTTTGGAACTTTTGCTTTTCGAAGAATGCCTTTCGGATTATGTAATGCACCTGCAACATTCCAGAGATGTATGATGTCCATATTTAGTAAGTTAATTGATAATGGATTGGAAGTACTTATGGATGATTTCTCTGTGTTTGTAACATCATTTGTCGCATGCTTAGATTACCTTAAAAAAGTTTTAAAGCTATGCGAAAGAACTAATTTGGTTCTGAATTTGGAGGAATGTCAATTTATTAATGCAGGAAGAATTGTGGTAGGGCATAAAATTTCGGAAGATGGTATGGAAGCAGACCCTGCAAAATTTGAAGTTATATCTAAACTAACACCTCCTACTAATGTAAGAGAGGTTAGGAGTTTTCTTGGACATGTTGGATTTTACAGGCATTTTATTAAAGATTTTTTAAAAATTACCTAACCTCTATGCCAACTTTTAGAAAAGGACAAGAAATTTGAATTTTCTAAAAGTTGTTTAAACGCCTTTGAGTTATTAAAGGAAAAATTAATCACAACCCCTATTATAGTTTCACCTAACTGGGAGAAACCATTCGAACTGATGTGTGATACTAGTGATTATGTTATTGGAGCTATCCTTGGACATTTAATTGGAGCTAAATGTGTTGTGCACACTGATCATTCTGCTATTAAATATCTGATGCAAAAGAAGGATGCCAACCCAAGGTTAATTAGATGGATACTTTTGATGCAAGAATTTGATCTTGTGGTTAGTGGTAGAAAGGGAACTGATAATCAAATTGCTGATCATTTGTCGAGACTAGAAAATCATGAATTATTTGACACCGACAATAAAATTACAGACAATTTTCCTGATGAACAACTTTATAACATTAATGGGTGGAAAACACCATGGTATGCTGATATAGTTAACTATATTATAAGTGATATTTTGCCACCTATGCTGACACTGCAACAACAAAGGAAATTCATTCATTATGCGAAAGCATATTTTTGGGATGAGCCTTATTTATATAAACAATGTAAGGATCTTATTATGAGGAGATGTGTACCCTATGAAGAAACTGAGCTAATCATTCAGAAATGTCATGATTCTGAATTTGGAGGACATTTTGGGATTAATAAAACTACTTTTAAAATTTTACAAGCTGGATTTTATTAGCCTACTATCTTTAGATATGTTTATAGATACACAACAACTTGTGATTGATGTCAACGAGTCGGCAATATATCTAGAAGAAATGGAATGCCT